TCCAGTGGGACCCGTCGCGCTGCTCAACGGCATGCTGCTTGGCCTGGCGTGCACGCCAGGAGCGTCGCGCTGCGCGTGCCACTCATGGAACTGCGGCTGATGTACTCGCTGCGGTTTGTCGTGCTGCTCTCCGTCATCGTGCTCGGATCCGTCGTGTTACTCATAGCCGTGTTGCTGGTTCTGGCCGTGCGCCCCGATGACTTCGTGCTCGCCGTATTGCGTGTCCCACTCGAAAGACTGCGGATGCCGCTGTTGGTGCCCGCCATGTTGATCCCGTCGTGGTGCCCGCTTCCGTCGTACTGATCAGCGTCGATTACTGGTCCCGGCCAAACCTCCAGACGGCGCGGTGCTCCTCGCACTGCGAAGCCCCCTCATAAAACTGTGGGGGGCGCCCGTCGCACTACTCGTCACCCCCGTGGGCCTGCTCGGGGAAGAAATCTGCACCAGTCGGTGCGGGAGTCGGCGAGCGCGCCCGTGCTGAAGTCGGCCTCGTGGTCGGCGTGGGAGGGGACGAGCTGGTTGGCGCGGGAGCTGCGCGTCACTTCTCGGACTCTACGGGCGCCTTCGGGGGCCCCACAGGGCCCCTTTAGGAGCCCTAGAGGGCCCCTGGTCTGCAGCCCTCGCCGCCCCCCCATTCATCGCCCCCCACATTGCGCGACGCCCAAAGGAATCGGCTAATGGTCCGCGCTGGGTCGTCGGCTGGGGGCGGGGGCGAGGAAGGTTCGAGCAGAGAGAGGAAAAGGGGGCCCACGAGGGGGCCAGGCCCCCCCAATTCAGGAAGGGTAGCAGATACGCTAGCAAGTACAAAAAAAGTGTACTATGGGATCCGGCTGATGTTGCCAAATCGCAGGGTCATTCGCGGGACCAGCTCAGCGCCGGCTGGCTTGCTCATCGCCTTCTGCACTGCGCGGATGAGCGCCGTGAGGGCGCGCGGGGGAAGGCGGGCGCCCCCCTTCACGGCCAGGTCGTAGAACCGCCCAGGGGCTCTGAGGACGCCACGCCACGTCGCGGCGTCGGGGGCCGCGGCGAGCCACTGCTGTGCCGCCCCCAGGTCGCCGACCTTCGGCGGCGCGTCCGCGAGCGCGGGGAGCATGGCCACGTTCGGCCTCGTCCCAGCCAGCTCCACCATCTCCAGCCAGCCCACTGCGGCGGCCATCATGTCACCGTAGCCCTGAGGCTCCCTGGCGGCGTCGTCCTGGCCGGAGAATGCAATCTTGGCGAAGCTCATCTCGAGGTCGCGCACCAGCTCCTGCGCCACGTCGTCCTTTTCAACTTCTCGTGCATGCCGTGTACGTCCGGGCGCTTGCCGTACGGTTTGGCGGCGCACGTCTGCTCTGCAAGGCGGGGGTCCATGGCCGCGGCCTGCCAGACCCAGCCCTTCTCGTCGTCCACCATCTTCAGAGTCTCGTCGTTCCCTGGGCCACCCTTGACGAAGCTCTGGTCCAACTTCACCTGCTCGTTGAGGCTCTCGATGCCGACGGCGATGTCCGTCTTGCCGACAGTGTCCTTCCACACCCCGTGGAAATGCTTGACGACGAGCTCCGCCGTGATCGGGCCCTTCGGCGGGTTGCCGCCGACGCCCCTCAGCGTCTCCTCGTAGAGGGCCTGGGCGACGGCGTCGCTGACGTCGTACTCGCCGCCGTCGCGCGCGGCGAGGGCCACTTGCCCTGGCCCCGGGACCGCAGGGGCGGCTGGGCGCGCCAATACCGACCTTGTCGACGTGCTGCAGCGGATGTTTGCGTGGATTTCTGTCAATGCATAACCCCGAAAGGGCAAGCGAAAAACGAAGTGAATCTCACGTGGATATTTGATCGTCTCCATTCCCGGCAAGGAATAAACCGCACGAAATTCACTTCGAAATCCGGAACGAAATTCTCCAGGACACTCCGGGCAAATCCCGTTGTTTTCAAAACGAAATCCGCTCTGCGATACTGGCGCCGTGAGACGGGCGCCGCAACGGCGCCCAGCAGCAGGCGGAGCCCCAGCGCGACGGCCCGGCGGGGGACAGCAGCGCGGCGTCGCAGGGGCCGGCCGTATGACGGCGCCCGCGGCCCGGGCGGCGCGGCGCGGCGCCTTGCCCCCCGCGTGCTCTCGCTGTAGGTCTTCCTCCTTCCTCCCTCGTTCACAATGATTCCATATGAATACTACTCTCCTCCTTCCCCTGATGACGGGTTGGGAGCTTTCGCCCCCTCCCCCCCCCCCCCCCCGCGTACGGTTTTTTTACACGCAGGATCCCCCGGAATTGGGTTTTCGCTTGCATTTTTTTCAAAATGCTGCTCTCGCTGAGGCGCCGGCCTTATTTTCGGGCCCCACTCGTTCCGAATCGTGCTCCCGCTGCAGCGCTGGCCTCATTTCTGTGCTTCCGCTTCGTTCCGAATCGTGCTCCCGCTGCAGCGCTGGCCTCATTTCCGCGCTTCCGCTCGTTCCGAATCGTGCTCCCGCTGCAGCGCTGGCGTCATTTCCCGTGCCATGCCACGGCATGCGATGAAATGCTAGGTTGCGTTCCGCCGCGCGATGCCATGCCTTCAGCTGAAGCTGTGATATGCAGTGTTTAAATGCCACGTCGTGCAATGCCATGCTACGCTTTGATCTTCAACGCCATGCTATGCAATTTTAGGGTCGGGGCCGCTGTGCGATGCCATTCTTTGCGTTGCAAAACTTTGTGATGCAATTCTTCACTACGCCACGCCACGTCATGCTGTGACATACTACGCTTTGCGGTGCTCTTCTACGCCATGCCACGCCGTGCTCTACAATGCATCGCGTACCCTTTCGGGATCATTGCCCTGCTCGACATCCGATTGTGCGAGTAGAGAGGGGATCTACGCCATGGTCCATGGTAGGGATGGGAGGGATGGGGTAGGATGTCAGATATGACGCCGAGTTCACCTCGCTTGCCTCCTCCCCCTCCCTCCCTCCCTCCTCCCCCTCCCCCCTCCCTCCCCCCCTCCTCCCCTCCTCCTTCCTTCCCCCCCTCCCTTCCTCCCTCCTCCCCCTCTTCCTCTGCCACCGTTCCGCTGGCCCGAGGTCCTCCACGGTGACTCGCCGCCTCTTCCACGGCGGAGCCTCCAGGGAAGGCGGTGGCTCCAGCTGCAGCCAGCGCATGGCTGGAATCCGACGAAGCGGGGGGGGGAGGCGGGTGGCGAGCCTGCTGGATTGCTTGCGCAAGGCGTGCAACGTAGACCAATGGACGAAGTGCGAAAGGAGGATGGGAGGAGGGCGGAGGGAGGGAGGGAGGGAGGGAGGGAAGGAGGGAGGGAGGAGACAGAGATGAGGGAGACGGAGCAGGAAGAAATGGAGGCGGAGGAGCAGGAGGAGGGAGGAGGAGAAGGATATGGAGGAGGAGGAGGAGGACGACGACGACGACGGCGACGAGCAGGGGGGAGAGGACGAGAAGGAACAGCACCAGCAGCGGCGGCGGCAACGACTGGCCTTCCCTCAGAGGGGAGCAGAAGGGAGAGAGGAGAGAGAGAGAGAGAGAAAGAGAGAAAGAGAGAGAGAGAGAGAGAGAAAGAGAGAGAGAGAGAGAGATAGAGACAAGCTAGGTGCGCTCGCGCCATGTCTGACATCCTACCCCTCCCACCCAGCCCTTCCCCTGCCGCTGTTTTCTCTTTTTTATCCGCAGACGCGTGTCATAACGGACATGGAAGTCCAAGCGTAACCCGAATCGTGCTATGCGCCATCGGCATTGGGGGGGAGTTGCGTACACTGGAGGAGGAGGAGGAGGAGGAGGAGGAGGAGGAGGTGGCGGATGTGCAAGAAGGTGAGCAGGAGGAAACGAAGGACAGTGCGGAGAGGGGAGGCCCGGGGCGAAGAGCAGCAGCAGGAGCTGGAGCACAGGGAGCGGGAGAAGCAGGAGGACCAGGAGAAGGCAGAGGAGGGGAAAGGAGGGGAGCGGCAACGATGAAGAACGACTCGGATCCAGAAGAGAGGTCTGCCAGAGAGAAGGTGCCATTCCGCACGATGGGAGCAACACGCCGATCCTAAGATGAGGCCACCGCTGCAGCGGGAGCACCGCCTTGAAGGGCCAAAAACGACTGGATTGTCAAACACCCACTAAGGGAATCAATAATTGAATTCCTTTGTGTAGAAAGCAATACGCGGAGAGGGCCGAGCATCTTCCGGACAGAGCCAGGGGAGAGAGGATAGTGGTACTCATAATGTTTTACTCAGGGGAACTAAGGGGGAGGGGAGAAGAGGAGAGAATGGAGGGGAGGAGAGAGGGGGAGGAGTGCGAGCAGGGGAGGCGGGGGGAGAGGAGGCGAGAGCGCAGGGAACGGGACGCGAGAAGAGCCCGCCCCCATCTCGCTTCCCCCTCCCCCCACTCCCCTTCCCTGTCCAGACCCGGTGCCCTCGCATCTTGGAGGCGGCCAGGAGGTCTGAACAGGTTGGGACCCCCGAAAATGCCAGGAGGGGGGGGATGATGAAGCCAAATCCGCTCAAAATCGGTCCCTGAACCCCTCCCGGGGTCCATCTGGTACAGTTTTTCACCCCAGATCAGTGTTTGACAGTCCCCAGGGCCTGAAAACGGCCCCCCTGGACCGATCCAAACACCAAAAACGGCGTCGAACCCAGAGTCTCGGACCTGGCCCCCCCTCCCTGCTCGCTGGAACCATTGCTGGGCCACCTCAGAACCCCAGCCGACTCCGCCTCCCATCCACCTCCCCTCCCTGTCGGACCATCTCGGTCCCCGAGCCTCTCCGAGGGTGGCTCCCGCGCGGCCGCGCGCGCACGCCCGAGGAACGCGCGGGCAGGGCAGCGCCGCGTGCCCCGCAGGGGCCCAGGGCCTCCCGCCCTCCGAGCCCTGCCCGGGCGCTCGGCGCCGCCACGAGCAGCGCCCTCGGCTCGAGTGCGCTTTTCGTCGCAGCTCTTGCTGTTTTCGCACTCGAGCCCGGGAAAGTTGCGTCGAAGCTGCGATTTGATCGCGTTGGAGCTTTGATCACCGCGCTTGGGCAGCGTTCTTATCACCGAGTGCAACCTGGAGAGGCAGATCGAAAAATCCGCTGCCCTTCCGGAGGGCGATGCCAATCGCACGGCGCACGGGAAGACGAGCCTCCTAGCGAGACATCTGCCCCGCCAGTCGGAGAACCAGTGGGTCGCATCGCTATGGGAGAAGAGCTCCATGGCAATGGAAACGATCGCAGCTGGCATCGTTTTGCTGTATCGCGCTTGAACAGGTGATCGGCAGATGGAGACCGCAAAACGACATAACCATAACTTTTGTTTGACTAATCTGCAGATGCATTGTTCTGACCAGTCCCTCCTGTGACAAGACCGCACGTGGGCAAGGACGGTCACAACACGGAGCGGCCGCTCCGCCCAAGTGCACCCAGACATTCAGGTCCAGGAGTCGGAACGCAGGAGAAACATCCAGTACAAATACTGCTGCGCCGTGGACATTTGTTTTTTTGATCAATCTGCAGAGGCCTCGCTCTGACCAGTCTCTCCCGTGACAAGACCGCACGTGGGCAAAGACGGCCACAGCACGAAGCGGCCGCTCCGCCCAAGTGCACCCAGACGTTCAGGTCCAGGAGTCGGATTGCAGGAGAAGCAGTAAGTACACATACTGCTGCGCCGTGGACATTGGGCACAGCCAGCATGCTTACACAAGACTGAAATCGCTGAACACAACCTCGACAATGCCTGAGCTGGCACGACGCACAATGCACTCACTCACTCACTCACTCACTCACTCACCATTCGTCTCTAGTGCGGCAGCACATCCTGCTCACCCATAATACACAGCAGCTCTCCCCTCAGTAGCAGCCCGTGTTGTTGTACCTGCACGGTTCGTCCTCGAAGCAGCATAGGCCGGGGCAGCTGGAGTCGTAGACGATGGGCAGGTCCTTGTTGATACCCTCCACGGCCTTACACTCGGCGTCGTTCGTGGGCACCGTCCTCACCTTCTGCTGCGCCAAGGCTGCGGAGTAGCAGCCCGTGTTGTTGTACCTGCACGGCTGGTCCTCGAAGCAGCACAGGCCGGGGCAGCTGGAGTCGTAGACGATGGGCAGGTCCTTGTTGATACCCTCACGGCCTTGCACTCGGCGTCGTTCGTGGGCGTCCTCACCTTCTGCTGCGCCAAGGCTGCGGAGTAGCAGCCCGTGTTGTTGTACCTGCACGGCTGGTCCTCGAAGCAGCACAGGCCGGGGCAGCTGGAGTCGTAGACGATGGGCAGGTCCTTGTTGATACCCTCCACGGCCTCACACTCGGCGTCGTTCGTGGGCGTCCTCACCTTCTGCTGCGCCAAGGCTGCGGAGTAGCAGCCCGTGTTGTTGTACCTGCACGGCTGGTCCTCGAAGCAGCATAGGCCGGGGCAGCTGGAGTCGTAGACGATGGCAGGCATTGTTGATACCCTCACGGCCTTACACTCGGCGTCGTTCGTGGGCGTCCTCACCTTGCTGCGCCAAGGCTGCGGAGTAGCAGCCCGTGTTGTTGTACCTGCACGGCTGGTCCTCGAAGCAGCACAGGCCGGGGCAGCTGGAGTCGTAGCCGATGGGCAGGTCCTTGTTGATACCCTCCACGGCCTCACACTCGGCGTCGTTCGTGGGCGTCCTCACCTTCTGCTGCGCCAAGCTGCGGAGTAGCAGCCCGTGTTGTTGTACCTGCACGGCTGGTCCTCGAAGCAGCACAGGCCGGGGCAGCTGGAGTCGTAGACGATGGGCAGGCCTTGTTGATGCCCTTCACGGCCTTGCACTCGGCGTCGTTCGTGGGCGTCGTCCTCACCTTCTGCTGCGCCAAGGCTGCGGAGTAGCAGCCCGTGTTGTTGTACCTGCACGGCTGGTCCTCGAAGCAGCACAGGCCGGGGCAGCTGGAGTCGTAGACGATGGGCAGGCCCTTGTTGATACCCTCCACGGCCTCACACTCGGCGTCGTTCGTGGGCGTCGTCCTCACCTTCTGCTGCGCCAAGGCTGCGGAGTAGCAGCCCGTGTTGTTGTACCTGCACGGCTGGTCCTCGAAGCAGCACAGGCCGGGGCAGCTGGAGTCGTAGACGATGGGCAGGCCTTGTTGATGCCCTCACGGCCTTGCACTCGGCGTCGTTCGTGGGCGTCGTCCTCACCTTCTGCTGCGCCAAGGCTGCGGAGTAGCAGCCCGTGTTGTTGTACCTGCACGGCTGGTCCTCGAAGCAGCACAGGCCGGGGCAGCTGGAGTCGTAGACGATGGGCAGGTCCTTGTTGATACCCTCCACGGCCTCACACTCGGCGTCGTTCGTGGGCGTCCTCACCTTCTGCTGCGCCAAGGCTGCGGAGTAGCAGCCCGTGTTGTTGTACCTGCACGGCTGGTCCTCGAAGCAGCACAGGCCGGGGCAGCTGGAGTCGTAGACGATGGGCAGGTCCTTGTTGATACCCTCCACGGCCTCACACTCGGCGTCGTTCGTGCGTCCTCACCTTCTGCTGCGCCAAGGCTGCGGAGTAGCAGCCCGTGTTGTTGTACCTGCACGGCTGGTCCTCGAAGCAGCACAGGCCGGGGCAGCTGGAGTCGTAGACGATGGGCAGGCCCGTGTTGATGCCCTTCACGGCCTTACACTCGGCGTCGTTCGTGGGCGTCGTCTCACCTTCTGCTGCGCCAAGGCTGCGGAGTAGCAGCCCGTGTTGTTGTACCTGCACGGCTGGTCCTCGAAGCAGCACAGGCTGGGGCAGCTGGAGTCGTAGACGATGGGCAGACCCGTGTTGATGCCCAGCACGGTCTTGCACTCGGCGTCGTTCTTGGTCGTCGTCCTCACCTTCTGCTGCGCCAAAGCTGCAGAGTAGCAGCCAGTGTTGTTGTACCTGAACGGCTGGTCCTCGAAGCAGCACAAGCCGGGGCAGCTGAAGTCGTAGACGATGGGCAGTCCCGAATTTATGCCCAGCACGGCCCTGCACTCGGCGTCGTTCGTGGGCGTCGTCCTTACCTTCTGCTGCGCCAAAGCTGCGGAGTAGCAGCCCGTGTTGTTGTACCTGCACGGCTGGTCCTCGAAGCAGCACAGGCTGGGGCAGCTGGAGTCGTAGACGATGGGCAGGCCCGTGTTGATGCCCAGCACGGCCTTGCACTCGGCGTCGTTCGTCCTCACCTTCTGCTGCGCCAAGGCTGCGGAGTAGCAGCCCGTGTTGTTGTACCTGCACGGCTGGTCCTCGAAGCAGCACAGGCCGGGGCAGCTGGAGTCGTAGACGATGGGCAGGTCCTTGTTGATACCCTCCACGGCCTTACACTCGGCGTCGTTCGTGGGCGTCCTCACCTTCTGCTGCGCCAAGGCTGCGGAGTAGCAGCCCGTGTTGTTGTACCTGCACGGCTGGTCCTCGAAGCAGCACAGGCCGGGGCAGCTGGAGTCGTAGACGATGGGCAGGCCTTGTTGATACCCTCCACGGCCTTGCACTCGGCGTCGTTCGTGGGCGTCCTCACCTTCTGCTGCGCCAAGGCTGCGGAGTAGCAGCCCGTGTTGTTGTACCTGCACGGCTGGTCCTCGAAGCAGCACAGGCCGGGGCAGCTGGAGTCGTAGACGATGGGCAGGTCCTTGTTGATACCCTCCACGGCCTTGCACTCGGCGTCGTTCGTGGGCGTCCTCACCTTCTGCTGCGCCAAGGCTGCGGAGTAGCAGCCCGTGTTGTTGTACCTGCACGGCTGGTCCTCGAAGCAGCACAGGCCGGGGCAGCTGGAGTCGTAGACGATGGGCTCCTTGTGATACCCTCACGGCCTTGCACTCGGCGTCGTTCGTGGGCGTCCTCACCTTCTGCTGCGCCAAGGCTGCGGAGTAGCAGCCCGTGTTGTTGTACCTGCACGGCTGGTCCTCGAAGCAGCACAGGCCGGGGCAGCTGGAGTCGTAGACGATGGGCAGGTCCTTGTTGATACCCTCCACGGCCTTGCACTCGGCGTCGTTCGTGGGCGTCCTCACCTTCTGCTGCGCCAAGGCTGCGGAGTAGCAGCCCGTGTTGTTGTACCTGCACGGCTGGTCCTCGAAGCAGCACAGGCCGGGGCAGCTGGAGTCGTAGACGATGGGCAGGTCCTTGTTGATACCCTTCACGGCCTGGCGTCGTTCGTGGGCGTCCTCACCTTCTGCTGCGCCAAGGCTGCGGAGTAGCAGCCCGTGTTGTTGTACCTGCACGGCTGGTCCTCGAAGCAGCACAGGCCGGGGCAGCTGGAGTCGTAGACGATGGGCAGGTCCTTGTTGATACCCTCCACGGCCTCACACTCGGCGTCGTTCGTGGGCGCCGTCCTCACGCTCATTTGCTCATGCCGATTCACCTGCATCATCTGCGAGCTCTTCTGGAGCATGCCCGTGTCGTCCTGCTCTCCCGCAGCGCACTGCTGCCCTACAGCGCAGGAAGCTTGCGCGCCGGACGCGTGCGCGAGTGCCAGCAACGAGGCCGCGGCGATGAGGAGCGCCATCGGCTGCAGACTGTAGTCTTTCTCGCTTCTAGGAAAACAAAGACAGGCGCACTTGAGCCAAAATCGCGTGAGCCAGAATGGCTACGGGTAAAACGACATAACCATACTTCTTCGAAGGTCTACGCGGACCTCCGCGAAACTATATTCATGCCGTCTGGATCTTCGAGCACGGTGAGAAAATTTCATTAGGAACCCTTGGATAACTACGGAACCCAGGGTCTGGAGGCCAGAGGAATGGCATTTGAGGCTTGGCCGTGGATACCACCGCCGCCCTCATCGCGTAAGGCATCCTCCAGTGTCCGAGGCATCCCAGGCACACTCCTGAATGACCGCCCCCACCGCATCGCTGGAAGAAGAAAAACGCCAAAAGCATAAACTGTTTGCGCGCCGCGCGGATTTCTTGGATCTGCGCTAGGTTCCCCTCCCTGGCGCGCGGAGGGCGCCAGGGGCAGCGCCGGAGGCGCCGCCAGGGGGAAGGCCCAGCGCGGATCCAAGAAATCCGCGCGGAGCGTCAACAGTGTATGTTTATTCGGGGGCGTCCAAGAGGGGGGGGGTGCAAATCATGGCCGGCGGCATGTGCGCGGCCCAGGTGGGGGGGGCCAGGGACGCAATGAAATAAGAGGAGGCGCCATGAAATTTGTGGAAATATCATGGCCCCCGCCATGACGTCCACCCACACCCCCCAGTCCTGCGTCACCCCCCTCTTGGCCGCCCCCGATGTATGGCGTTGTTCTTCTTCTAGCGATGCGGTGGGGGCGGTCGTCCAGAGGTGTGCCCGGGATGCCTCGGACCCTGGAGGATGCCCTAATTACGCGATGAGGGCGGCGGTGGTGGCCAAGCCTCAAGTGCCGTTCCACCGGCTTCTTGCAAACCCTGGGTTCCTTCGTGACTACTACCAGACCACCCCAACCCAACCCGAAGACCCGAATTTGACCCGACCTTCGGGTTGGGGGGGGGTACAGGTTCCATTTGTTTTTGTCAGTGTTCCCTGACCCCCCCACACTGGAAATGGATGGCCAATTGAGGCCTTCGGGTTGGGTTGGGGTGGTTTGGTGGGTGGTGGCTTAGTTATCCAAGTGTTTCTGATGAAATGCCCTCAGCGTGCTCGAAGATCGAGAACGGCACAAGCATGATCTTTTCAGGACGGCGTCCCTGGAAGTCCCGACCCTTTCCCCGGGATTGGTTTTCCGTGCCGAGTCGTTTTTTGACGATCCCGAGGCCCGGCGAGGGCCCCACGGGGCTGAAAATAGCAAGAAACCTCCCGCCCTGATTTTTGCTGCGACGCGATCAGGGCTGGGTTCCGTCGTTCTGCTTCGACTCCACCGCATCGCCCCCGAGCAGAGTTTTCGCATCGCACCGCAGAGCCTACGGCTCACCGGTCATTCTCCTCCTCCCTCTCGTCCACCACCCCCTGCCCCTGCCCCTCGCCTTACCCCTCCCCAGTCCATCGTGCTCCTGCCATTCCTCCTCCTTCTCCTCCTTCACATTATCCTCCTCCTCCTCCTCCTGCTGCTGCTCCTCCTCCTCCTCCTGCTCCTCCTCCTTCGTCCTCCTGCGCCCCCCTGAAGGGGGGCGGAGTAGAGTGAGAGAGAGGAGGGGGAAGGAGAGAGACAGGTATACGTTCAATGACGGAGAAGCGAGGGTGAGAGAGGGAGAGAGAGAGATGGGATGGAAAGAGAGAGAGAGAGAGAGAGAGAGAGCAAGGCTGAGAGAGAGGGAGGATATGTGAATGAGAGAGACAGAGAGACACAGGCAGTCAGGCAGGCACACAGACAGATACACGTACGCACGCGTGCACACACACACAGAGACAGAGACAAGCCGAGAGACAGGCGGACAGACCGACAGACGGCTAGACAGAGAGAGGCGGGCAGGACGCTCGGCCTGCGCGGCCACTCGGGCGTGCGCGCGCGAAGCGCGCCCGCCTCCCTTCTGCCGGCGGCGCTCGGGCGCGCTGGCGCGCCGCCGCCGCACAACGCCGCTCACGTGGCGCCCGCGGCGGCAGAGTCGCACAAGCGCGCCCGGAAGGCATGCCTCCCGACGTGCGCCACGCGCGCGCCGAGCCGACCGCCCCGCGGCGGTGCGCGGGGGCATCTGGGCAGTGGGCCGCAGGGGGGGGGAGGGGGAGGGGGGAGGCAGCGAGGGGAGGGGGAGGGGAGAAAAGGAACGACGAGGACGACGACGAGGAGGGGAAGGAGGCAGCGAGGGGGAGGAGGGCGAGGGGGAGGGACGAAGGAGGAGGGCAGCAGGGGTGGGGGAGGGAGGGGGCAAAATGCGGGGGAGCAGAAGCAGCAGCAGGAAAAGGAAACGGAGGGAAGGAGGATAGGGATCGACCTAAATAGTGTTATTTCTTGCCGTGTTGTCTTCGTTTTCTTGAGATCCGCAAAAACAACGTCGAGGTCGACCCCTGGAATAGGAGGGAGGGGGAGTGCAAGGAATAGGAGCATTTCACCAACTTACCGCGGCCAGGGACGATGTATTTTTGCGAAGGCGAGCGAGGCAGCGGGCACCGGACGAGGGCCAGGAGCCAGCGTATTTGCAGACCAAAGGCCGAAGGCTTAAATGACCGACAGGCCGCACACCCTTCATACCCAATCGTTCAACAATTTAAAACCAGCAATCTGATGATATCTAGCGGACCGAAAGGGACTCAGCTATGTTAGTTAAGGCGGAGGCGGCAGCCGACGCAAACTTTGGGGATATGGGGTAGCAATATGTGTCCACTTCTTTTTTGTACCTGGAGCGCAGCCAGACAGGATGATATGCGGCTTGTTCGTACGCGAGCAGATCCCATTACAAGTATGGCATAATCTGTTAAGCCCGGGGATATGTGAAGCATTCCAAGAGGCAATAGTTGTTGGTTTTTTCCACGGCGTACCATATTGACAGAAATCAGCTTTGTGAAGACGGAACGGGACGTGCCTAGAATACTGCATAAGTGGCGGGATCGACCACATCTGTGACGCTCTGGGGCTCTCGAGGAACACTGGGCAACCTACGAAGATGGCGGCCTGCAAGATCTTCATGCTGGCCCTGAAGGTGAGACTGCCCGAGCGTAACCGCGAGGCCTCGTGGTCGTAGAGGCCCGGGCCCCCCCGCGGGAATTCAAAGGAACGCAGCGGTTTCCTGAGAGCTCTGGAGAACGCAGTGCACGGAGTGCCCATCCAGATCCCGATAGTGGCCCCAGAACGAATCCAGCACACGAGCACCTTCAGAACACACGGCCTGGTCACGTCTTCCCAAGAGCCCGTCAAGACATCCAGAGAGATAACCCCATAAGCACGCAAAACTTGGCCAGCCGCTCAAAGCCGGAGAAGGGGTCCAGAAACACGCAACTCTTGAACTTGGTGGCCCGCCTCCTCTCGCGCTGGAAAAGGTTGTGGAGGTAGGCGGTAGCCTCGGCGTCGGTGCTGGTCAGCGCGCCGGGCGCCGCTTTGAAGTCGGCGCTGCGGCAGCGGGCGCTACGCCCCCGCCGAGGGGGCCCTGCTCCAGGCTGGTCCTGATGCAGAGGGGGATTTTCGCCCAGAGTCGTCGGTCGCAGAGGCGTGAGCCGAGTGCCACGGAGAAGCGATCCTGCACCAGCTGCCCGAACGTGAAGACTGCCGGCGAGACCTTGCCCATCTCCATGAGCAGCCGTGTCTCCTTGCCGTAGCGCCGCAGGCTGCGCTGATCCCGCCCCTGGCCGCGGCGCCCCACCTCGGCGAGGGCGCGGCGCCTGGCGGCCAGGTCGCCCGGCGCGCCCCCGTGGCGGAGGCTGCGGGGGCGCGGGTTCAGCGCCTGCAGCCCGAGGAGCACCACGGCAGAGTTGAACTCCTCGCGCAGGGGCGCGGCCGAGAAGCCCCGGAGGCTGGGCGAGTGCGCGGCGGCCACCTTCAAAGCGGCAAGTGCGTCCAGGAGCTAGCAGTCGAGCTCCGCCGCGACTGATCCGCCCAACTCGCCCGTCTTGCCGGCCTCCCCGCCTGAGTCGTTGATCAGGGCGCCCCAGTGGGCGCGCCGGGGGCCGGCGGTCGGGCAAGGCGCCACGAGGTGGGCGGACTGGAGGCGGAACGTCTCCTTCGGCCTGAGGTAGGTCACGAACGCGAGGGCGATCCAGATGGCCATCCTGGGGAGCCCGCGGTAGCACAGCACCCCGGCGATGGCCAGCGCGGCCGCCTTCGGCAGCGGCAGGCGCTGCGCGCCTGGCACCCGCCTCTTCCAAGACGAGACGGCCCTCGATGACCTTGGCAACTGCGTCTTCAGCGACTTGTGGAGCTCCAGCACGAAGTGGGCGAGCGTCGCCAGTAGCTTGCTTCCTTTATCCGGGAGGTGGCCCTCCAGGTACATGCTGCCCATGTAAGCGCTCGCCGCTTGGTCCAAACCCGCCATGTTGACCCAGTCGATGCTGTGGCGCGCGCAGTGGCCCACGAAGCCCTTGAGCAGCTGCCGGCACGCAGCCTCGGACTCCACAGACACCGCCACGTGCTCCAGCAACGTCAGCCGCCCCCGAGGCAGCCGAGCCGCCCGCAGGCTGCCCGCCGCGGCCGCCCGCGTCGCCAGCGCCTCGGCGCGGGCTGCCGGCAGGCGCCGCCGGGGCCGGGGCGGCGCGGCGCCCTGGCGGCGGCCCGTCTGGCGGGCCGCCAGGGAGAGCGCGGCGGTAGGGTCCCGCGAACCATCCGCTGTGACCACGAGACGGCTCATCGGCGGGGTTAAACTCGCTGGGCAGCCATCTGACGTGTAGCTTGGTACCTGTGGCCAGGGACAAGGATGCAATCTTCCTGAATGCCTTGCGCAAGTGTTCCGACGCCGCCCTGCACTTGGTGGCGCCCAGGGCGAGGGGGGGTGTCCACGTGGATAAGAACGCGGCACCCTATGGCATCGGTTGATCAGAGCAGATGCTTGAGCGCCAGGACGAGACCGCCACCCTCGAGCTCGAGGATGTTCGCCGGGGCGAGAACCCTTGAAGCCAGGACGACATTCCAGGAGTTCTCATCCAGGAAGGCCCGAGGAACTTCATCAAAACGCGCAGCCTGAACGATGAGCTCGCTGTCGGAGCCCTGGAGGCCCTCCAGGGGATCCCCGGGGACCGCGGATAAACGCAATGACGATGAGCCTCCGTCAACATGTTGTGAGTCCCCGATGTATGGCTCGAGATCGCTCTTCAAGTTTGGCTCGAAATCGCTTTTCAGGGTCGGCTCGAAATCGCTCTTCACGTTTGGCTTGACAGGACGCGACGGCAAGGAAGAAAGAGAGAGCGAGGTAGTAGGCTCCGCCGAGACCACGCTTGGGAAGACACCTCCCTGCTGTGGGGTCGGTCGAGAACTCCCCTCATGATCAGGAACAGCTGCGAGCGCCCGTTCACGAGCACGGGCAGCCCCCTCGACGCGATATCTCCATCTCTCACTCTGTCGTCCAATGTTTACAACCGTCTCAAGGTCGAGCCGCCGGGTGCAGACCGCGACACCGCATGCGCAGGCATCTGAGCACGCAACCACTGGGTGCCAAGAAGCAGAGATTACAGCGCAGAAGAAGCAACATACCTCGAACTTGCCAGACCTCGTGTAAAACTGACGGCCAGGCATCAACGGGTTCCCCGGGGTGGGCGATCACAAAAGCGTAGCAGGCGTCCAGGGCAACCAAAGCCTCACGTTTCATAAGGCAGGCCGAGGTAATGTGCCCAACGAGGACCTGAGGGATAGCGCCACTAAAACGCCCCCTGGAAATCAGCTCCTCGATACCCAACCTTAGCCTCCACATGTTACGCTTCTTTATGCTCATGCGGGTTCCCCCAGATAACTCCATACCCAGGAAAGAGCAGTCCGTGGAGCCCTCCTCGAGCTCATGAACCAGGGGGCCGGTGTCCCGAATAACGTCGACGATGTCTCGCATGCGCCTAGTGGTCAATTCGCGATCGTGGCCAATCGTAAACAAGTTGTCGACGTAAGCCGCGCTGCCTACCTGCTCGGGCTCCTCCAAGCGCACCCCCGCCTGCCCGCGCTCGATGAGGAAGTCCCGAGACAGCCCCGCCAAGAAGATGCTATGACGCAGGACCCCTTGGCAGAGATGCATGGCCCAGCTCCAGCCCATCGGCAGCACGGCGAGGCAAGGGAGCCAGGGGGTCCAAGGAGGCACCGCGGACCCGTCGAGGTAGAATACCCTGACCAAGGTAGAGTCGACCACGGGGAGGGAGAAATACTGACCCATGTCCGATGGGAGCCCAAGCCGGTAAAACGCGCAATCCAGGTCGCCGGACGCGACGTACACAGCTTGTCAGAGGTCTCCAGGGATGAGAAAGCACTCGAGGTTGGCAGCCGGGCGCTCGGCGGTGTTTTGAAGTAGGTGTTCACGACGACCCCGGTGTCAAATGCGATGCGTAACTTCCCATTCTTCGTTGCTACGACGAGAAAAAATGAAAAAAAGACTAAGAATAATAAAAATAACGGAAAAAGAAATAAATATGTATATATATATATATATAGAAAAAAACTTGCGACCGGCTGCCACCTCCCCCCTAAGCATTCCCCGCCGATGGAGCCTCAGCCAAAAAAAACATAGGTGGAGGGCTGCCCCTTGAAAGCACTATCCAAAAACACACAGTGGGGGCAAACCTCCCGCTGTAAGGTGGCCGCTTCCTGCACAGATCTCAGCTAAGTTTCGCGCCAGCCGCCGAGCCATGCACGGTCAGTCGGGCCGAGGGCGTCCGCCAAAGGGATCGGCTTGGCCCCTAGCTCCGGCCAGGAGATCAAATCCTTGACAAACGGGCGGCGGGGGCCCTGGTCCGAAGAATAGACCGAGGACCCGGCTAGAAGCTCGCTCAGGGCTTCCCTTCCTTGCCAGAACTCAAATCACTGGGAGGCGGCCCCACTTGGGTGCAACAACCAGCGATATGAACAGGGGCTCTAGCCTGGCTAGCGTTCGCAGGGGAGTGGGAGGAGGTAAAGACAGAGGTGCCGAGGGTGGTAGCGTCAGCGAGCTGTCGACAGCGGCCCTTGGCGGGTCGCTGACCGCCGTACAGCCGTACAAAGAATTCAGGCTGCCCACGGCATAATCAGCCCAGTCGAGCGCAGCCGTGGCCATGCGGCGCCGGCATACGACGCTGCGCACCTCCCGCCCTGTCGGCACTGATCGAGGATGGCGAAGGACGGAGGGGAGAGGAAAGATGTCCCGCTGGCGAGCGGGACCGAGGGGGGTCTTGCTGGCCGCGACGGTGCCCCCAGAGCCGTCGCGGATGTGCTCAGCCATCGTCTGCGCCGGCACCCGCCTTGTCCTTGCCCTTCCTGCCGTTCTGCTTGGGCCTGGTGAGGGCACGCTCCTCGCGGGCTTTACGGCGCTCTTTCGTCACTGCGTTTTCCTTTTCCGAGTTCGGTACTGATCCGCTCCTGCAGCTGCGGACACACGCAGCAGTTCCCTCGCACCATGTCGGTGCCATAGTACAAGCGATTGTTGGCGGCCTCCTCAGAGTTGCCCCCGGTGAACCTGCTGCGGTGCCTCTCCTCGGCCAGCTGCAGGGACCTTGCCGCCAGCTCCGCGGCTGCGATGTCGGGGACGTTGACCTGGTCGTAGCAGGCGAGGGTCTCGAACTGCCGGCAGGCGTGCTCGTGGATGCCGACGTCGGGGTCCGACGCGTCGAGGCCGCACTCTGTCAGCCATCTCGCGTGTCTCCCCATCGGCGTCCCCCCATTGGCCAGCATGAAGCGGCCTACCCACCATGCGGTGCGTGGGCCACGGATCGGCCAGTCCCCGTACGAGTTCTGAGTCCAGGAGTTGACGGCATCCCTGAAGTCCTTGTGCCGCTGCCCGAGAGCGTCGATGTGCACACCTCCGATTCTGGCGTCGCCTGGCGAGCCCGCGGGCAGCCCAGCGGCCCCGCCCATCCCCGGGATGAGGGCCACACCAGCGGTCGCGGCGGGCGCAGCTGCCACCGCGCCGGGGGCCAGAGGGCCCGGCGCCAAGGGCGCGGCGGGCACCAAGGCACCCGGTGCAGCCGCGCTGGCGGCGCCGGCGCCGGCGACGTAGGCGGCGGCCGCGGCAGGCGCGGCCGCGGCGGCTGGCACCCGGCGCGGGCGCGGCGCCGGGGGCGCCGAGGGCGGCCACGAGCCCGGCCAGGCCTCCCGCCGGCGGTGCGCCCGGGGCCGCCGCCGCGCCAGGGGCGGGAGCGGCCGGCGCCGCGCCAGTGTTGGGAGCCAGCAGCTGCCCGATGGCCGGGAGCCCGAGGCGGGCGCAAGCCTCGTCGCGCCGGGCCCCGCACACCGCAGGCAGCGGTACACTGCGGAACCGGTAGACGCGGTCGCCCCCGGTGAACCCCGCGGCGCCGCCGATGGCTCCGTCCGGCAGCCGACCCCACTGGGCGATGTCGCCCCCGGGCGTGACGTCCTCTTCGTAGGAGTCCCCGTCGGGTGTCATCATCGTGATCCTGGTCGTGCCACCGGCGGGTAGCAAGACAACCAATCTCTCATGCCATATGCGCAGCGCGGGCGCTGCTCCCACACTGTACAGCACCAGGATGAAGTCCCCCTCGGCGAGGCCGTCTCTGCCCTTCAACGAGTGCGGGGCCGCCATGCCTAGGCACGACGCGTTCGAGCGGCCTGCTGTCGGGCCGCGGTCTCGAAGTCAATGTCGGCGATGGGCGCCTGCAACGAGAACGGCACGCCTGCGCGCGCCGAGGGTGGGCACGCTCGGGGCCGCGCACACAGGATGCCGAGCAGGAAGAAGATGCAGCCGACCGTGACGTGGGTCAGGGCCAGGAACCCGAAAGAGATCTGACTCGGCGCCACGGGCGCGCCTCCCGCTGCACACTCCAAGCGGCAGTCTGGACAGGGGGCGCAGTGCAGCGTCGGAGCACAGTCGGGACACGACGGCGATGAGGCCCGCACCACCAGCCATGTGGACAGGCCGCGGGTGAGCTCACCGATCACGGCGCGGACCAGCGCCTCGACCATGAGCCAACTGCGGGCGGGTCTGAAGGGTGCCAGCTTGAGCAAGGACGGCGGCGGAGCCGTGCGGCCGCTCCCATCTCGCTCATTGCTTCCCGTTCTGAGAACTGCACACGAAGAGGATTTGAGGAGGAGGAGGAGGAAGAGGAGGAAGAGGGAGCGAGAGCGGAGAAGGAGAAGCGTCCATGAGGTGGATGAACAGGAGGGGGAGAAGGAGAATGATGAGGAGGAGGACGAGGAGGAGAAAATAAGCACGAGGAGAGGCAGGAGGTCAAGCAGGAGGAGGAACTCCAGGGACCCCTTCGCGATCTCTCCCCAGTCCTCCTTAGTCCTCCTCTGTCCTTCGCCCTTTCCTTGTCCTCCTCCTCCTCCTCCTCCTCCCCAGTCCTTGTTAGTCCTCCTTAGTCCTCCTCGGGCCTCCTCATCCCTGCTCATCCCTCCTCCTGCTCATTCCCCAACCTCCATCCTCTTTCCATCATTCCATTGTAATTACCCCTGCTCCTTCGGTTCCCCTTGATATCCCAGCTCCCTCGCATTCACCGCAAACCGTGGTTCAGGGTCATCTGTCCTCAATGCTGCTTCCCCTTCGCCATAAATCGTTAACACAACCGTCATGCTCCTGTCCATTCCTAATCCTCTTCGGTTAACACCTCCCTGATGAATAACTCCCCCCCGTCGCACCGAATGACGTAGCAGTGGGGCAGTGTGGACACTTCTCCTGGCAATTTCTCACAACAGAGGGTCCTGAAGCTTGAGCACACGTCATTGTCAGCATGTCCCGAACCTACGCGTCACACACATTCGTCTTCGAAACCTCCAGCAGTTCCATGGATGGAGACTGCCCGAATTTCGGAGCATGCCTCTCGCATTGGCGTCACGCACATCAGTCTCAACATCACCCCACAACTACACAAGTGCAAGGCGAAACGCTTCAAAGTGCGAATGTCGCCGTGGCTCCGCGAACACAAGTTGACAACATTGCTTCGGATGGAGGGCGGTTCCTTTGCAGAGCGTCTGTTGCTTGCAGCGTCACAAAGCATCACGACCAGAGACTGAAACGTCCGACATGTATGCACGGGGTGGAAGGCGGTTTGTATATGTTCAAAATGGGATATCAGGTGGGGCGTCCCCAGAATGCGCTGCGCGAGACCGCAAAATGTGCAACGGCCGCACGGACAGAGGGCATCTCGCTTCCACGGTGAGGCTCCTGATGCGTCTGCACCCTGCTTCTCGTTGCTGCAGGGCCGGGGGCGCTCCTCTTCAGAACGGGGCTCTTGCTTGAACGGTAGCCCCATGGGGCGCCCGCCCGTCAAGCGGGACGCTTGCAGGGGCGTGTGGGGAGGGCCGTGCGCCTCTCGGGGCGGAGGCGGGATACTACAGCAGTGCAAACACATCCGAGGCTTACCCTAGCCAATGTCATCATCACCCCTCCCCTCGAGCTCCCAGGTCAGTTGTATCCTCCTCCTCCCCCCCCTCCTCCTCCTCCTACTCCTACGCCTCCTCCGCCTCCTCCTCCTCCTCCTCCTCTACCTCCTCCTCCTCCACAGTATTCCGCCTTCCCCTGTTCAGTCCTCCTCCTCCCTCTCCCCTCCTCTCTCGAGCCCCTCATACCTCCTCCTCCCTCCTCCCTTTCTCGAGCCCCTTCCGCCGTGTAAACGGCGGACATTGCCGCCGCCAGGCCCCTCTGGCTGTCCGCCCATATCGAACCACCGATCGCCCGCCAGCGCTGGCAAAAGGCGATGTCCTCGTCGACTGGCGATGAGGGCAACGGGGGAGGAAACGGAGGAGGACGAAACGCAGGAGGAGGACGAGAAGGGGGGGGGGAGGAAGAGGGGAGGAGGGGGATATGGACGAGGAGTTGCGAGTCGCGAGCTATCCCACGTGGTGGTCGACGAAGGAACTAGGAGCGGCGCTGCTGCTCAGCCTTGCTCAGAAGCTTGGGCCGCTCACCCTCGGGCAAATCTGCAGTAATGCTCCTCCCTGTGAGGAGCAATATTGTTCGCACGCGGCTTGGATAACTCTCTCATCGGAGAGTGAGCGAAGTAGCCACATCCCGTGCAAAGACGGATTCTCCGAGCGCGCGACAGATACATCCTATATGAGTCCCGTCCGCCAACTTGTCGCTGACACAAACAGGCTGGAAACACGCATAGGTAAACCGTCCAGATGCAATAGCATGTGTCCCGGCCCCGAGACAACGAACGCACCTCTGTCTGGACTCGTCCGAACAATACTGCGAAACGAGAGCACGCACGACCGAAGGAGCAGGAGGAGGGGGAGGAGGAGGAGGAGGAGGAGGAGGAGGAGGAGGAGGAGGAGGAGGAGGATGCGGAGGTCCCTTCGCCCCCGCGGGCGTTCCGCAGTTCCCCTCAGACTACGAGGGTCGCCCTGAGCAGGCGGTGCCTGACGAGCCAGCCCGTCCTCTCGGTCATCCGGATTCTGACATGAATTGCGGGCGGGATCCTACGCTCCTCAGCTACCTGGGCGGCTAACGGCTAACTCATCCGCAGAGTGATCACCGATAGCACGCCAAGACTGGGCACCCGAACCAACAAGCTGCTCACCAATGGGATGCGAATTCACAAACAAGATACAATGGCCAATCCACAAGATCCACAAGAAAACCAACCCTGAGACCCCAGGACGTCCACTGATTTTTGACGCGGGAGCGTCGCGCTTTCCATCGCAAAACCATCGAAACCCAAGAAACCCAGGGCGCCCTGGAGGCAAGCAGGGTGTTTCTTGGCATGGGCCTCCACTGTAGAGATCTGCCCCCGACGTGCCCTGCATATTGTCCACCGATTCTCTTCCAGAGGTCATGGCTGTCCCTTGTGGGCCGCTCAAACAGACTGTCATGGAAGCCCCCGGTGGCGGACTCACCGCCAGCGACGCACGCAGGACGAGCAGCCACACGCCCCAGGTGCTGGCCAGAGTACTCACAGTACGCTCTGTAGAAAAAAACGGTGGAAAAACACACACACACACACTCTGTGAGTGTGTGCTTGTTTATGTGTGAAAGAGCGTGTTCTACCGCTGCTGGCGGAAAACCGGGGGGGGTCACTACCGGTTCGAACCCCTCCCCCCCCCCCCCTCCGGAAAACCGGGGGGGGGTCACTACCGGTTCGAACCCCTCCCCCCCCCCCCCAGCTCATCATGAAAAGGGGGAGGGGTCACTACCGGTTCGAACCCCTTCCCCCCCCCCCCCCCTTCTCGAAAACCCAGTGGGGGTGCGGACAGAGATGGGGACGGTGTTGGTGGGACAGTGGTGAGGGGACAGCGGGACAGTGGTGGGGACAGTGGGACAGTGGGACAGTAGAGGGCCGGTAGTGGTGGGGACAGTGGTGAGGACAATGGTGGGAACAGGGGGGACAGTGGACAGTGGTGGGGACGGTGGTGGTGGGGACAGTGGTGTGGGCACAGTGGGAATGAGGTGGAAACAATGGGACAGTGGAGGGTACAATGGTGGTGGGGACAGTGGTGAAGGCGGTGGCGAGGACGGCGGTGGGACAATGGGACAGAGGTACAGTGGGGACAGTGGTGGGGACAGTGGGGACAGTGGTGGGAACAGTGGGACAGCTCAGTGGGACAGCGGCGGAGTCAGTGGGACAGTGGGGACAGTGGGGATAGTCGGGCAGTGGTTGGGGCCGTGGAGACAGTGGGGAGAGTGGAACCGTGGTGGGAACAGTGGTGGGGACAGTGGGGACAGTGCGACAGTGGTGGGGGCACTGGTGGGGACACAGTGGGGACAGTGGTGGTGAGGACAGTGGTGCTGGGAACAACGGGAGTCGTTTGCTGGCGGTGAGTGGGGGGGTGGGGAGGGGTTCGAACCGGTAGTGATCCCCCTCCGGTTTTCGAGGGGGGGGGGGGGTTCGAACCGGTAGTGACCCCCCCCGGTTTTCCGGATCCGGAGGGGGGGGGGGGGGGGAGGGGTTCGAACCGGTAGTGACCCCACCGGCTTTCGAGGGGGAGGGGGGGAGGGGGGGGGGGGGGGGGGGGGTTTTCGGGGGGGGGGGGGGGGGGGCGACCCCGGGTTCCGGAGGAAAAGGTTGGCAATTTTCCACAGTAAAGCGGCGGTGGATCACGCTCTCTCTTATGTGTGCGTTGTTTTGTGTGCGTGGTTTCTTGTACTTTTGTTGTGTTATTTGTTTCTGCTGTTTGTCCACAGACTCACCGCCTGTCATGGGGCCCTTGACTGAAGCGCGGGCGAGACAAGGATGGTATAATGTCTGAACGGTGATGCCCAACCCTACGCCCACACATATGGCATCTCCCGACTCCTGCCGCCCTGTGGCGCCCCCCCAGCCCCAAAGACGCCATGGGCTCCGTGCAGTTCCTGTGCCCAAGCACTCACAACATATCGAGTTGGTCCGCGCCGCCCACGCTCCCGGCTTCGGCCGCGGGTGGTGGAGGCATGCTGGCCCAGAGAGCCGGCAGCAGAACCCGCAGCCGAAAACAGGGCTCGGCTTCGCGCTGGGCACAAGCAGCACTGACCGAGTGGTTCGAACCTGCGCATGACTTCGCCCCACACTGTACCGAACACTCCCGGGCTGGATGGAATTGAGATTCGGGTTTGACCAGAGAAGGCACACACAAACCTCATGATCTCCTGAGATTGCATATTGCTGCCTTGCCGCGGCCAAGAGCCACCTGATGCGATGAACACCATCAACTCGCTCAGCCTGGTACCATGGCGCACCGATTGCAGCTGCGGAGTGAGCTTGCGCCTCGCAAAGTTATCAACTCCGCACTGCATGCCTTCTCCGCCAAAATGTCGCGACGCATCGCGCCACTGCCTAGCCCGAATGGAACCGACGCGATCCTGCGGCAGCGGCCCGCGGCCGCCATCAATGAGGCTGCCCGAAAGCTCCGGGGGGGAAACCTCTGGGCATCCAGGCCCCCATCGCGGCGCGCCTGGTTCGGAATCCAACGGGGGCTGTCATCCCGCATCTGCTGGAGGCGGGGTGGGCCCCTGAAGAACCTTGGTTTTGGAAGGCACCTGCAGAACCTTCGCTTGCAGGCGCCTTCCAAAACCAAGGCTCTTCCGGGGCCCGCCCCGCCTCCAGCAGATGCGGGATGAGAGCCCCCGTTGGATTCCGAACCAGGCGCGAACTCTGCCCCACGGGCGCCTGCCCTGGACAGTGTGGAATTGCAGGCCAGGCGAAAGCGATACCAGGGCGAATAGCAGGCAACGTCAAACACAACTGCAACCACAGCGCGAGACAAGTTCCAGGTAGAGAATGACCAGGATTCCCTCCTGAACTGCGCAAGCCAAGCAACGTTGGCAAACATCTGCCGAATTCCCCCGTTGCGCACAAATGTCTCATCTTACGGCGACAACGACGACGGATCATGGCGCCCCCGAGAACTCCGCGAAGCTGGTGACCGTGCATTTCCGCGGCCATGGTGCCAGCACACGCGAGCTTGTTTATGACGTGATACCTGTTGAATGCTCGTGAGAACCTGACTATTCCATTGTGCATGGTAGCGGCTTTGAAGAACACGCTTGGCACGAAACTGCCTTGCATGCTATCTGCCGACGGGAAAAATACCTCCAAACATCCCGCAAGATTGCGCGGCTCGACCTGAAACCCTTCTCGGCAAAGACGAGCTGACAGATGCGGCGCACAACAAAGTTGGAGCAGAGCACGGAGCTGTGTGATGGCACAATTGGCCTGTCCCGCGTCAGGGCACGGCATGTGCCCCGAAGCCCACTGGGCAACGACTTCCGAAGTGCTCGCCTAGACCCGTGGCTTCGCCGCGACCAATCGCCCATCCAAGCCCGAGTCCCGATGCGGGAATGGGCATAAGCGACGCGTGACATGTATATACATATATAACATACATACATGCATACATACACATCTACAGGCATCCATACATACATGCATACATACATACACACATACATACATACATACACCTATACATATATACATACATACACAAGCCCTGAAAAAATGGACCGCGCGGGGTATATCAGTTCTGCGTCAGCTCTTCCTTGTCCCAGCGACCGCGGCATAACAGGAACCTAATTACTGGCGGGCACGCCAATCGCAATTCAGTGGGCATGAGCAGAAGGCGTTCCATCGAATCAGAGAGCCCACGGGTATCCAATAACCCATGTCCAGAAGATAAATTGAGAGCACCCAGATCCTCTTCACACACCCGCGTGAAAACTCCTCTTCAAGGCTGCGTTTCCAAAGTTTGCGGCATCCCGCGCTGGCTTGGACTCTGATGCGCAAGTCTTAAAATATAGCTCCGCAGCTAAATTTCATAGTCTGACAGTCATCGACAAGAGACCAAGCACACGATCCCCCAAATTGTTGTTGGTAGCAGTCGTCCGATTGTTAACCCCAACTGTGCCAGCCACTCAAGCAGCTCTTCTATGACTACGTATAGTTGTGCAAATTCTGAAATACAACATCGGGCACTGGTTCAAAGTCTGCGAGGCTTGGAACGTCCACTTATTGCCCAACCGTCGGCTTCATGACGTTGGTTACCCGTCTGATCTCTCTCAACGACAAAATTTCGAGAGGGTCAGCCCGTGCTGCTACGCGCGCCGTCCCGCATGCGTCCAGCATCCTCTCCTCCTGGCATTCCCGAAGCAGCATGGCCCAATGTCCGACGATCTCCCGAGGATGAAACAGTACGGCGGTGGTCCCCTGGATAATTTCGTCGGCAGGAGTAGGATATTGCCGCATGGCTTTGTGCACACCTGCTGCACTCGGAACTACTATTCTCTTGCACAGGGTGTCTAGAGCTCCGACCACTTTATTTCGGCACGGCACACCCTCCATCAGCCAAACATTCCACCAGCCAGCGCGCCCCTCCGCCCCGACCTCTTCATTTCGGCACGGCATACCCCTCCGCCCCGACCCCTTTATTTCGGCATGGCGCACCCCCTCCACACCCCCTTCGCATCCCCCCCACCCGCCAGCCAACGCGCCCCTCCGCCCCGACCCCCTTATTTCGGCACGGCACCCCCCCCGCCCCGACCCTGGCATTTCGGCACGGCACTCCCCCTCCGCATCCCCCCAACCTGCCACCCAGCGCGCCCCTCCGCCCCGACCCCTTTTGCTTCGGCACGGCACACCCCTCCGCCCCGACCCCTGTATATCGGCACGGCACACCCCTTCCGCAGCCCCCCCACACACACACACACCAGCCAGCGCGCGCTTCCGCCCCGAGCCATTTTATTTCGGCACGGCACGCCCCTCCGCCCCGACCTGTTTTACATTGGCACGGCACACCCCCATCCGCATGCCCCCCAACCACCATCCAGCGCGCCCCTCCGCCCCGACCACTTTTTGTTTTGGCACGGCACACACCCCTCCGCATCCCCCCCGCCCGCCAGCCAGCGCGCCCTTCCGCCTCGACCACTTTTATTTCGGAACGGCACACCCCCTCCGCATCCCCCCACCCACCAGCCAGCGCGCCCCCTCCGCCCCGACCCCGTTATATTTCGGCACGGCACACCCATCCGCCCCGACCTTTTTTTATTTCGGCACGGCACACCCCATCCGCACCCCCCACCCACCAGCCAGCGCGCCCCCGCCCGACCCCTTTTGTTTTGACACGGCACACCCCTCCGCATCCCCCCCCCGCCAGCCAGCGCGCCCCTCCGCCCGACCTTTTTATTTCGGCACGGCACACCCCTCCGCCCCGACCTCTTTTATTTTATTTCGGCACGGCACACCCCCTCCGCATCCCCCCCCGCCCACCAGCCAGCGCGCCCTTCCGCTCGACCCCTTTATTTCGGAACGGCACACCCCCTCCGCATCCCCCCACCCACCAGCCAGCGCGCCCCCTCCGCCCCGACCCCGTTATATTTCGGCACGGCACCCCCATCCGCCCCGACCTTTTTTTTATTTCGGCACGGCACACCCCATCCGCACCCCCCCACCCACCAGCCAGCGCGCCCCTCCGCCCCGACCCCTTTTGTTTTGACACGGCACACACCCCTCCGCATCCCCCCCCGCCCGCCAGCCAGCGCGCCCCTCCGCCTCGATCCATTTTATTTCGGCACGGCACACCCCTCCGCCCCGACCTCTTTATTTCGAGAACTTCGGCACGGCACACCGCCTCTGCATCCCCCCACCCGCCAGCCAGCGCGCCCCTCCGCCTCGACCCCTTCTATCTCGACACGGCACACACCCTCCGCATCCCCCCACCCACCAGCCAGCGCGCCCCCTCCGCCACGACCCCGTTTTACTTCGGCACGGCACACCCATCCGCCCCGACCTTTTTATTTCGGCACGGCACACCCCATCCGCATCCCCCCACCCACCAACCCGCGCGCCCCTCCGCCCCTACACCTTTATTTCGGCACGGCACACCCCCATCCGCATCTCCCCCCCGCCCGCCAGCCAGCGCGCCCTTCCGCCTCGAACCCTATATCCCGGCACGGCACATCATTCCGCCCCGACCTTTTTTTTATTTCGGCACGGCACACCGCCTCCGCATCCCCCCACTCGCCAGCCAGCGCGCCCCTCCGCCCCGACCCCCCTGCACCCCCCCACACGCCAGCCAGCGCACCCCCTCCGCCCCGACACTTTGATTTCGGCACCCTTTTGTTTCGGCACGACACACCCCTCCTCCCCGACGCCCATTTCCTCCCCGCACGGCACACCAGCCACCAGCCCACAAGCCACGCCCCCCCCCACCTCTTTCCCCCCCCGACTCCCCCCCTTTGTTTTATTACGCCCCCCCCACCCCCCACCACAAGCCAGCGCGCCCCTCCGCCCCGACTCCTTTTGTTTCGACACGGCACACCCCTCCGACCCTCTCCCTTCCCTTTTGTGCAAGAGCAATGGCACACGTGCCACTTGTCCATTATTTGAACTCGGTGGTAAGCAGAGCACGTAACGTCCTCCCCCGACCTCTCGTGGCGATGCGCTTTGTCGACGTGGCAAAAAGAAACAACTTGGATTGGTGCACCTGGCTGGCACTAGAGAGTAGAAGACAAGACTGCTCCAAACTTCCCAGGACGGACTAGACCCCACTCGAAACCCACGATGACATGGTCAGGCGATTCCTCCCCACATTGCTTAAGTACTTGCTCGAGCTGCTGCTGCTGCTGTTTCTGCTGCTGCTGCGGCTGCTGCTGCTGATTGTTACCATTCGGACGAACACGATAACCGTGCAACAGTTGCAAATCCGTACGAGCTTTCTCCCACCAAGATGTAAGCAAATCTCGATATGGGACCGTCATACTCTTGGGTGGTAACCGAACTTCCTGACTGATGCCCTCGAGCACGCCCCAAAGATGGGGGGGGGCGTCACGCCATGATGCTCATACACCGTCCGCGCCAGCGTTGTAACCCACAACGCATCGAGCAACGAGCCGGCTTCGGTTGAGCCACACCCAATCCTAGCGGCTACGGACGACGCACAGGCAGCAGGTGGGAAGCATTCGCTGGCGGAGAACAGACCCACATCAGAGCGGACACGTATACAGATATCATCTGGGATGCGAAACGAGATATTGTCATCACCTTCACCTGTGTAGGGGGGGGACTCGCTGGCGGACGATTCATGCGCAGCAGGCCCCAAGTGATGGACGGCGCGTACTGTGGCAATGTGATAATCGGTGCGTCAGTGTTCCAAACCCACGGCCGATGGTCAGTAGGCGGTGCTGCCGCCTGCACGCTACAGTCAGACAAGTGAAACCCAGGTGCTGAAAGATTCCACGTGAAAGCACTGACAGACTCCGACACCACCTGCATCGATGGGAGCTCCACCCTACTGGGTCCTACCTCGGGCCGCGTTCCCATATCCACGACGGCGTGGCCATGGGAGGCCGAACCATGAGCAGCTCCCAGGGACGAACTGAGGCCAGCTCCTGCAGGCATACTCTCGGCCACGACGGCGTGACTGGGAGTCTGCACTACATCGGCGGCTCACAGATGAGGGGCGCGAGCAACACTGGGGCCACTGGCATGCTCCAGCTCGGGATGAGCACAAAATTGGGCACGCAGGCCCATGGATCTTCAAATCATCGAATGAATCCCGTGTAAACTTTGGCTCGGGCTCGCGGTCGGGCTTTGCCTCGACACCAGCACCGTGCAGCGACATAACTATAGGTAGAAATAGGCCACAGGTTGCCAAAGAGCTCGAGGTAGGACTCCTGGCGATTGGCAGCAGCTAACTCATGCATGACTCGATGTTGCTGCTTCTGGACCTGCGTCCTTGATCCGGGTATGGGTAACTGCTGCGGTCGCTCAGCTTGCGGTAACCTGGCAGGAATTGAAAGACATCTAGTGATGAGGTGCTTGCCAGATGCGCGCATGGTGATACGTAGGCCGCAGTGTGTCTTCCACTAGACAAGCGCGTTCGACGACTCGCACAGTAGCTACTCGCAAATGGCCTGGATCCGCCGCGGGGGATCTATGATATTTTTACATCGAGGAAAACACATGTTTTTTTTGACATTTGCGAGCAGGCACTCTGCGAGTAGTGGAAGGCGCTCGGTGATCCACACCACCGCCACCATGGCCTCGACTCGCGCCAGGTAGGCGACGGCCGCACGGCGTCTGACTAGCTATGAAACCTCTGTGGTTCCCTCACTTTCTTGCATCGCATGCGTGCTCGATGGGTGCTTTGACCACCTCGCCGTCGACTCTCGAGAAGACCCCCCCGACCATGTGAGAACTGCTGCCGGCACGTTGAAGGGACAAGGATGAGAAGGAGGAGGAAGGGGAGGGAAGGAGGGCGGACGGGGAGGGGAAGGGGCCTCGACTTGGCACTGATCAGGTCTAGGCTCGCAGGGCTGATTGTTCGCACGGTTGGGCGTGGCGGATAGCCCGCTGGTTATCAAGGCTGTGGACTTGTCGCTCCTTGGCGTTATCTGTGCCTCTGCCATGATGAGCGACCGCTAAACGGCGACGCAGCTCTGCCATGATGGTCGAAGAAAAAACCCGCCACCTAGAATGCTAAGGGCTGCCTGGTAGGGCTTCTGCTGTGCTATATTTCAAAAGCCCTCCCTCCCCCCGTCGCAACTCGTCGCGCGCACCGGCCATACTACCGGGGGGCTCCTGGGCGGCCATGGCGCCTCTTTGGGATTCTCCAAGGTTCCATGACGGCCCAGGAGTTTGAAGGGGGCCGGTAGGCCCGACCAGAAGCTACGCCTCATGCGAAGCACAGCTTCTTTGTTGTATCGTAACAGCGATACTCCCATTCGTAGAAAATCATCGCGAGAGCGACGGGCCATTTCAAGCGAAGGATGTTTTCGGTCTCGATGGCGAATCGTACACATCGCACTGAGGCGTAATTAGATATAGGCGGCCGGCCGCTCGAGCACAAACGGCCGCGAACACACGTTCGTGACCTCTCGACTGTATCCCAGCTCGCTTTAGAGTCGGGGGGGAGGGAGACGAAGCGTAAATCCGCCGCTACTATACAGCAAATACGTCAGCTACTAAGCACAAGAAGCAACAACAGGCGGGGCCGTAAGGAAGGCGGACCCGCAAGCAAGTTGCCTTGCCAACACATTGCTGTGCATGTGATTACTCCTCAGGCGGCCGCAGACCAGGATGTCTGGCCAGCCCAATAAGGAACATGACGCTTTAAGTCACGCTTGAAGGATTGCGTACCTCCCATGACCTGTAGAAGCATATCTATATCAATGCTCCCCTTTTGTGTGACCATCCGCGGACATGTCGCGAGTGTCACACCACTGAATACTATGCACGACTCCTCGCTCCATCATCTGTCGTATCCGACTGATGTGTCCTAAAAGGGTGCACTCCGTCGGCTTCTTCAGGTCTTTGATTGACAAGGGCTTGGAAACGTGTTCAGCATCTATGGTCAAGGTGACCTTGATGCTCAGGCCTCCCACCTCCAGTAAGTCTTTCAACTGACTGGGGGTCAACGGACCTGCATGGAGCTCGCGCAGAATCACGATCGTGGGATAGCAGTCCTCCAAGTTGCGGGCTGCTGCTAGTGTCTCTGCTGAATAGCTTGAGCGGACCTGCAAGCGGTGAGACTTGCAGTGCGCATCGATCAAGTGAACGCCAGGCTTACCGGATGGCGCGGTTCCACGCCGTAGCAGGTTTGCCCCGCGAATACCATGGCCTTCGACTTCGTCATCGGCATCTCCACTCAGGCGTCGATTGCCGGAGTCGCTGTTCAGGTCAACTTCGCCCGTAGGAGTCACCGATTGATAGGCGATCTTCTTAGGGCAGGCCTGCAACTTCCTGGTCATCGCGTTCAGTCGTCGCACTTGTATAGTGGTCGGTTTTTGGACACGGTGTAGAGAGACCACATATACCATCAACCACACTTGGGCGATTAATGCGTAAGCCAATGCGCCTCTAAGGCTGACGAACATGTCTGCAAACATCTTGGATGCCTTGGCGTCAGCGTCGGCGCCGGTGAGTTCAGGATGTTGTATAGGGCGGAGCTGTTTGATGGATTCATCTTGGTCCAATGTGACGTTGCCGTCCCCGTCCGTTGCGCACCTCGCAGCGCAATTGGTATATGTATGTTTGTTGCACTTGACGCACTTGTCAACGGTGTCCTCATATCCGGCTATATTGATGTCATCAACACGTTTGGCTGTGAGCAGGAACTGCTTGTCTCGAACACCGCGTCGTAAGACGCGGGTCTGAGACCAAAACCTCTCGTGGTCCTTCTGGGCTTCAGTGAGAAAGCTCTGCGTGCATCCATGGTGCCGGTGCCTGGTTCGAGGCACTGCAGGCAGTGCTTCGACTCGCCGTAGTGCTCGAATCCTGGGAGGGATCGAAGCACCGTAGCCGATCCAGGCGGCAAGGTAAAGCGCGCCACACGTTCCATCTCACCAGTTGCCACGGCAAGTTCCTGGTAGGTTAGCCCCCTCAGAAAAGCCATGTTGATATCAAGGGAAGCAATGACACATTGCCTCTTGCACGCTGCCGCGCTTGCGAGTAATCTCTGACCTGGCCGCCGCGCTATCCCTGAGAAGGTTGTCGCATCAGAAGCTTCGAGGCCCATGAAATCCCGAAGCACCAGGCGCAATCGGATGGAACCTCTACCCATATGCGCACCTCGAAGTCATGATGCTTAACGATTTAGATACATCTCGCATCTTGAAAAATTTGTTGGCAAACCATGCCTTCAGTTCAGTATATAAGCCCTCGATTCTTTCTCGGGATTCGCAAAAATGTCGGCCTTCGCCAGGAGGTCATCTTCCTTGGCGACCGCAGCTCCTTTTGCAGCGGCGGTAACATATACCCGCATGGTGGTTACAAGGTCGACATATAATATCCTGCGCTGCTGTTCAGATAGGACTACCATTGCCATTTCTACCACGAAGCAGAATTCTACATTTTGTCCGTGTTCGCCCGAATCCAACCAATACGTAAGCGTGGCCTTCGACCGTGGAGCATACTTGGACATGATAAGTCTCCTCGGTGTCGGAGTCGCGTGAATATCCCCACTTGGGCAGGTGCCCCCGCTGTTCTTCAGCTACAGTGACCAGCGCACTGTCGTCGGTAATCATCTGTGTGGGTACAGTGTAAAGGTCATCTAGTGGAGTTGCCTCCAGTAGTTCCCTTTCGTCATGTAGTTCTGTGCACCGCACTTTCATAATATGTGCCTCGAGATCCGCTTCTGATCCCTCATATATCGTAGGAAGACGTCCATGTTCCTGTGGTAGTTCGGCTTCTGGGGCTTCTGTGGCGTTTTCGTCTTGTGCCGGCATGTCCGCCAGTTCCTCAAACTTTGTCATAGCATGCTCAAAGCCCGCCTGAGGTTCAGTGGAGCTTTGGCACTGGATGATTCTAGAATGTGCTGATCCAGTTATATCATGAATATTCAGGGCAGGGCCTTCTGCGCCACAGCAATGGCAACCTGGATTTACATCGTTGTCATAATGGGTCAATGTGCAACTGTCAGCGTAAGCTACCGGAGGTAGCTTATGGATACTCTTGGCCAACCTACTAAGACTGCATTCTCGATGCGGAAGAAGTTTCTGATAAGGTACTGCAGTGCCAGATGTACCTTGGGAGATAGTCGGCTAGCACTGGTCATCTGAAGCGCCCCCCTTTGGTCGGGACAGAGCCAAATGTCATAGCAGGTCCCCCCGCAAGCAGACTGGCCACGAATGTCAACACTGTCCGTAATGCAGCGCTGTCGGAGCCGATTTCTCTGGCTACCAAAGCTTCGATGTAAAGTGAATGTCGTGCATCGCCATATTGGACTTGTACACGCGCGGCTTCCCACTCGAATGATAACTTGACCCCCGTCGGGATCACGTCGCGCAACTGGGAACGGGCCATTCTAGCCGCCCCAGGTCGTCCTTCGTAGTTGTGGGACCATGGTAGTCAACCAAATCTCCTTCCTCGTAATAATACTGACCGGTAATTGTTGTTTTAATACGTAATGCACAATTGGTCTTGTCTACTGCGGTAGCCTGTGTGATAGCTTCAATGCATACCCTGCGTATTACCTGTTCCCCAGAGTGGTCAGACGCTTCTGTTGGCAATTCATGGTCCAGCCCAGGCAGGTCAGGGAGCATTGCCAGTTGCCGTGCAAACATACCACTATACGGAGACACCTCATTCTAGAAGGTCAATGCATATGCGGCAAAACAGGGCTTCGTGCAGTAATCGTGTGAACACAGGAGGTACGTCTATAACGCGTTGTCCACGCGCGCGCATCCTCAGCTCAGTGCCCTTTGCCTTAAGGACTGCCCTTGCAGTGTCTTTGTTAAAGGCACCCTCCCCATCGGAGTAGTACCTTGGCAGGTCTAAATTGCATCCAGCACTGCTGATACGCATCTGAGATACTGGTCATTGTCTTATCTGGTATCTCCATTCCAGTGGCACATCGAATACAACGATCAATTATGTGAAATAGTTTGTGCTCCTGTTTGCAGAACATAAGGTCGCATTCGCCTTCTTCATTGAACTTGCCAGGTAATGCAGTGGATGGCACAACGGCGCGCCCTGGCTTGTCCCAAGCCCTGCGCCCCCGGCATGCGTCGCAGACGCCTTTGATCAGGTTGAGCCTGGCGCTGTCCAGACCTGCTTTGGTTAAGAGTTAAGATGAGTCTCATCTTAGGCTATTTAGTAAAGAACCGTCGCAAATGTAGCTTCCGCAACTCGCGTGTTACCACGCTTGGGTCAAGGCTTCGTAAGTTTTGTAAGCTGATCTGAACTTCGAACCTTGA